CCAAGCTTGAAGGAGTTAGTAAGAATTAGAGGATCTTTTTATAAGCGTAATATAGAAACTGGTAGATAACCAGGTATTGAACACAGAAACAGGGTTTGGTCGTTATGTGCCTCTAATGATGTAGAAGACGAATTTCATTTTGTTCTTAAATGTCCTTTTTATTCCAATTTACGCAATTCATGTATTAAACCTTTCTTTATCAGACATACAAGTATGTATAAATTTATTAAAATAAAACAGAATTAACCAATTTTGCCAAATATGTAAGAATTGCTAGTGGAAAACGACAAAATGTACTGAATTAAGTCAATTGTATCCAGGGCTTGTCAATAATACATTTATATGTCATTATCATCAAAACATTTTCTATTATTGATTACATTTGTTTTAGCAGTGCAAGACATCTCTCTACACTATAGTAGGTGGGAAATGGTGTGTATATTCGTCGTTGTTTACTTGATGTTTACTTATTGTTGTACCGTATATATGCACAGCTGATGATATGTAAAGCTTAAAGAAAGAAAGAAAGTTGAACTTGAACCTTCTGTTCACCAAGCGTTGTCTTTTATTCACTCTTTAAACGTTCTGGAACATCCTTGTTGTTTTCCCATTGAATTGTTTTTATTCATTTTTCACATAAAAGTACAAGACAACTATACAAATACAAAAAGAAATGATTCAGTACTCATCACTATTTGACAACAAGTTACAAACTAACACAAGCTTGTCACAGCTAACAATCAAAGGGAAATACATCTTCATTTGTAAGACCTGCACACAGCCCTGAATTATTCTAGAGTATTACATATGTTTTCACTGTTCAGCAGTCCAGATGAATATGTGACAGTTGTTATTCTACATGAATAAAAAATAAATAAAGTTGTAAAACTGGTGAATGCTTTGTTGACCTAAATACTATTAAAGCAAGCTTAACTTGTGCAGTATCTCACAATACTAGAAATATTATAGTATCATAGCAATATTTTACCAGCCTCCTAGCAAGACCTGACAATGCAAAACTAATACAAGACATACATAAAAAGTTTTCTGGCATCTATGTCAAAAACATATGTATGTACCAGAAAATATATATTTTTAATGCAATAATCATTCATCTAGTAATTCATGCCAACCTGCCTATCCTGTTAGAAATTTAGTGTAATTATTGTTTGTCTTGTACATGCATCTTTCTACCTTATGGTAGCAAAGTATTTGTGATTTAAAAACCTCAAAACAGACATAAGTCTGGTGTAACCTACAATAATACACATACTGCTTAAACAATAGCCTCACACGCCTTGGTAGCACACGAAATATATGACGATAGTGTTCAAATTTAAAACAACTTGTTTATCGCCTATGTTAATTAGTTCTAACTACATATCTCGACAGTTAACATTGACAGCGGTTTTTATAACATCAAGTATATGTTACACATTCATTTTCACCTGTTCCATATGTACTGATGAGCATAATCATAATCGTCTTACCTGTCATAAGATGTATCTTTTGTAGATTGTTGTCTTCTTGGGGTTACGCTTGAAACATTTTAAGCATACTTTATGCTCCTTTGACGACAAGACACTTTTCTCTTAACTTAACAGTTTCAGCAGCTTGCCATATATGTCAGATGTTTAAAATTGAATTTCAATTATATTGGTATTTTTGTATGTGTAAGCTAAGTAAAATGTCAAGGAGAGAAAATAACTTCTGTGGAAACATCATCAATTATATATGATACACACCTTAACCTAAGAAATGGAAATAATTGATAAGATAGCAATAGTGTCAGACAAGATAACAATATGAGAATAGCGAAGTGGAAATTTTAACAAAGAAAACATTTTCATAGAGATTATTGAATAATACAAAATTAGTTTACCAGGTGTTCCGGGTCCACAAGGCACACTAGTGATTTAATATATTCCTTCTAAGGTTTGGCCATGTAAATATCTTTTTTTTCAATTTGATTTTAAATAGATTTTTTCTGGAGAAGTCGAACGTTATTGTTACATAAAAATAAAATGTAAAAAAGAATACCAACTTCAATTTGTATTTAATGAAAAGTAACTCCTTAATCACTAAAGGGCAATATTTCTCCCGGTGCGTTTTAGTCTAATATTTTTTTTTTATCTTGAACTGGCGCTCCTCTTCTAATATATTCCTGCTTAGGTTTGGGAAGATACACTATTTTGTTACTTTTATTTTAAATTCATTTTTTTGTGGAGAGGTCAAACATTATTGTTCAATTAAAACGGTATGATAGCAGGTAGCAGTTCGGAGAAAATCACTATTTGTCGTTCTTGCGCGTGTTCAACGTGTTGGCGAATAATAGTTCATTGATGTTGTTAGACTTAAAAAAAAATGGGAAATGTCGCTATTAGTTAATAGCCCACTGTAGTAATGGTACAAATATAGATTGATTGCCCGCTCCAGTTAGAGTAGTGCCATCATGCCAGTAGTAGTTGTGTATTTAAGATTAATGAACATATGTACATATGTGAGTGTTTTATGGGGCATATCAAGGGTGAAATAAGGTTGTAAAAATATAAAAACAAAATCGTAGTTATATCCATCTCACTGCTTCACGACTAGATAAGGATAAACCCACATTTACATATTTAACGAAAATAAAAACTCGATACTCCAAGCGATACTACACATATAGGAGAACCTAATCAACCTTTCCAATCCAATTTGCAGTATCATCGTCAAAACTATGTGGTTTACATATCAGGGAGGAAACCAGTTTTGGAATATCTTTTACATAATTACAAATACATAAAAATGGAGGTCATATCCCGTCAACAAATAACAGGATGGCGTACGTTTTCGGCTTTCCGGATGAACTATTCTGGATGAACGATCAGAATGAGATTCAGAAGTATTTACTCAAAATAGATAGGGACGTTTCTTTGGTGATTGTCTGATTATACAAAAAAGGGATGCTGGCAAACTTCTAATTCCATGGATGCACATTCAAAATTATTTCACGGAATGGTCATAATGGCGGCTTCCTTGTGACGTTTGACCGCGTCACTACGAGAGCAGTGTGTCAATGCACGTACATAACGAGCATTATAAATGGATAAAAATGTTCGAAGTGCTTCTTATATTACTTAATTAAACAAAGCGATGAAAAGAAGTAAGATAGTGTTGTTCACTGCCTTTTTTCTAAATTTACCCATATATCGAAATAGATTCACTGGAACTATAATATCCTAGCAACCACGGCTACTGTAGTTACCATCGTAGCAACCCGCCTAGACTCTTTTTCCGCGTATTTCATTTGAACATTATTTTTTATGTAAGCATAATGTTTTTAACATATTTCACTATATAATTAAGGATTGACCTTCACTTTGACGCGCTCCATAAAGAAAATTTTCGTTGCTAACTGCGTTCTTACTACCTTGTACACCAACAAAATGAAGGTCAATCCTTAATTATTTTCTTTTCACACAGGTTATGACACCTGTGAAAATTGGACGGAGAATGATAAAAAGGAAAATCATGTACAGGATTCAGATGCAGCAGAAAGGTAACAATAATTTATATGAAATACATAAGTTATGTAATTAGAATTAAGGGATTAGCAGCAGATAGTCGAGTCAGAGCCCAGTTGAGCGCAACTCTGTAGCGGGACAATATAATGAAGGGATTGGAATGATATGAATTGGCAAATTTTACATGAAAATAATAGTATACCCAAGCTTAAGATCAATATAAATAAACATTCTTTCTAAGTTTCTGAAGTATTTCTATATAACCAATTTTCTGAAGTTTTGTATCTATTTAATCTGTTAAACAACAATTGTTTTCAGTATATTCCTTTTCGAAGGGGCATGCTCATTTGTAACATCAGTGATGAGCTTTGCATGGGTCAAGTATATATCATCAACCTTGTCAAAAACATAGGCACTATGAAAACGTATTTTACTAATATCTTTATGTAAGTGTTGTTATCTTCAATAAAATTCATCAGTTTGGAAATATCTGATATCAAAGTTTTACTTTTTAAATGATCAATGTACGTGTTAAACGTGTCGCAACGTTTCAAGACCGACTGGTACCTTTGTCAAAGGATATGTTGTTTCTTTACATCAGTACCAAATGTGTCGCTAAGTTCTCTTAAATGATAAGGAGTATGCTGTTATAGAATATGAAGCTCTACATCAATAGACCTTAATTTCCCTGAAATCTTCCATGTGAGTAAAACAAAGGAGAAACAAATGGTGAAAACAAACAGGTCTTTCTGTTTAAATACAAGTGTTCATTGTGAGATCGCGAAGGGCACGTGCGATATCAATGGTGCAGAATGCCTTTCATATACTCCTTGAATCAGCGTCAAACTTGACGTGAACTTATGTAACTCCTTTAGAGGACATAGTCCACCAACTTACTATTGCTCCGTGATTATATTCTTACCCGTTTTTGATTTACCGACGTTGTTTTCCTGATAATTTCTAATTTGGTTTCGTGTTTTTTTCAGTATCCATACTTTAGATAGGAAATCACTCTTATGTAATAACTTTACTCCTACTGGGTACTACGTAACCAACATATCTAAAACTGAAAAATAATTCAACAGCAATATAATTATAGTCTCGTTTGAAATTTACTCATATGGTTAAGCATACAGTTATACTTGGATAAAAATCACACATTTTAATGATATCAGAATGAACATCAATGTTTTAAACATTATTAATGGGTGATATAATATGTGTTATTATACCACGCAATGTGATTACAATGTTGATTGAATGCAACAACGAATCTTCCCGACAATCGAGTTAATGGCCCCCAGCGCTGTTTTCATTATAATGAAGTACAATGCTATCTTCAAGAACCATCGATCTTCTCGTTACGTACAATGCCTATATCGCTCGAGGCCAATGAGCAATATGTAGCGGTAATGATTTCACAAACAAATTTAATATTGTTAAAATATGACTACCCGACACTTCCATTAACTTAAAACCACAGCCCATGAACACGGAGTGGGTTGGATTCGATTTTATTGAGGAGTTTGAATGAAATAATAATCAATGTAGAAAGCGTCCTTCACCGTAAAGGTTGGTCTAGAAGTGTTATCACTTGGTTCATAGTGGTTTGATGTTGCTGTGATCCAGGAATACTGCAGAGTACTTAATCTACCCAGGTTTTGTATAACAAATGGGGATGAAAACATGTTTCCGCTGGTACGTATACTGATGTGGTGTGTGCTCAAATAGCAATTTGTTCATTGACAATACGATACTTACAGACAATAGGCTTGAAGCTTCCTGGTGTTAGCTATAGTTTGTTTGGTTTGTTTGTTTGGTTTGTTTGTGTTTGTTTGTGCTTGCTTGGTTTGTTTGTGTTTGAGGTCCTATTTACAGCTATAGTCATTAGTTATCTATATTTCTCTATGACAGAATGCTTAGTATATTAAAAATGACAATACTAGTATAGTCAGATATAACAAATATATGGGAATGTATATTCATAAAGGCACGGGATGTGAGAGGGCGATTTTGATATTATAATTTCAATAAAAACCTGTGTGTGTATAAGGGGTGTACCATATCACTGTGATTCAATATTTTGGATCGAATAATGAAGTTCTCAAATATGTTATCATAACTCTAAAGGAAAACAGAAAATATATATTAACCACGCCATCATTACAAGACAGAAATTCCGAATTCAAAATCGTTCGTGACAGACGAAAACATGAACTAATGACACATTAGCACGGGGAAAAGACACCTTGAACGGCACATATTGCCGAAAGTGATATAAGTGATCCGGAGGGGTGTTTCCTTCATCACATTAAATACTCGATACAATGTTTCATGTTAAAAACCAAGATAACTATCTATTTAAAATAGCTGACAAGTCTTTGATCGCGGTGGGGCAAATAGTATAAGTGGAATCCATGTTTTTGTAACAGGAGACCCTCCGAACTCCTGACGGATGCTCTACCAATTGAGATATCTGGTCGCCGACGATCGACCCAGTCCAGTTCCGCTACATTTTATTGATAATCCTTTATCAACGTTAAAATCTGTATACCTTAATGTAAAAGTCACACATGTACACATGGTTACAATTCATAGTATAAGGGACTTGTTTTATTGAAACCCAAATTCATTATAGTGTGGCAGGGTTCAATTGTACATAATAGTGAGGTCGCCGTCTAGCTCCAAGCTAGAGGGAATTTCCCTTTAGCTGAGTGGTAGAGCGTCCGACTAGGAACCTGGAGATGGAGGGTTCGATTCCCGGTGGAAGCACACTATTCTCTTTCCTGTTACAATTATATTTGATAATTGTTACGATAGTGTATACGAGTAAATGTGTTGAGTGTTTAGATTTCAGAACCATTGCTAAATTACAATGTGGTAATACACATATATACAATGTAGTAATATACATGTATACAATGTAGTAATACACCTAAAATTTAGCATTTATTTTATATTTTCATGTATCTTTTATAGGTCAGCTTTCATCTCGGCCTGTCTGGCAATGCTGTCCCTAGTCATCGTTGCAAATTATTTTGATCTCATTTTTACTTTTCCTCATCGGCGTCCCATTAATTCTTCCGCGCCTCGGATTCGTGAACGTGGTAAACAAGACAAATTCTTGCAAGACAACTCTAGGCGAAGGGAACTCAATGGAACCTTTAATCATATCCCGTTGGATAACCCGGGACAACAAGCTATGATAAAACATGACCCAAACGCCCCTCCTGTACACCACGTGGCTTTTATTAAGGTCCACAAGGCAGCTAGTACAAGTATACAGAATATCTTCTATCGCTATGGTTATCACAACGACCTTGTTATGGTGCAGCCTGTTCGCACGACCGGTACCAAGTGGTTCCTTCCGGTTGAACGAGAAATGTTTCTTCCACCTCCACGAGGTCAAACAAGCTTTGACATAATGTCTATTCATGCTACCTACAACAGAAAAGCATTTGAAACAATCCTTCCGAAAGACTCCGTGTATATAGGGATCGTACGAGAACCCTTTAAACAATTTGCATCATGTGTTAAATATTATCATCTGAATAAGATACTGAGGATTCCAGGAAGCAACCCAGTGAGGAAATTTCTCTTGGATGCCAAAGATCAAATGAATTTGTCGCCTAATCCCAGGGTATTCAATACACAATCCCGTGATTTAGGATTCCCCGTGAAATATATGTTCCCTTACAATGAATATAAGTTCAGTAACTTTCTTCAACAGTTGGACAGAGAGCTCGATCTTGTCTTGGTGGTTGAGCGATTCGACGAGTCTGTGGTCTTACTGAGACGTCTTTTGAATTGGGAAGTCAAGGATGTTATATTGGCATCACTGAATAGCAGAATCAGTCATCCTCGTTTACATTTTGGTGCCACCGAGGAGATGCTTCTCAAACAAATATCTCTCCATGATTATGCTTTGTATGATTTCTTTGCAAAGAAATTGCAGGACAAAATAGATCAGCAACCACACGATTTTAATGATGAACTTGTGCTTTATAAGCAGATTAAAATAAAATATCACAAATTTTGTCTATCAATACAAAAACAAGACTATACTGTAGTTAAAGTTTTATCGTTCGAGAGAAGCGCTTGGAGCAAGCCTTTCAATGTCACAACCAATGATTGTGCCTTATTGCATATGAATGAAAGACAATTTTCTCAAATGTTAAAACTTAAAATGGGACATTCTATAACAAAATAAATAGGAATGAGAACATGAAATCATAAATGAAACGTCATTTATAGCAGCATTGATGACACACCGATCTACCTGAACAATGAATAGCATTAAAAGGTATGTCTTAATTGCCATGTCGGTATGCTCTGCCATGACTTACATGCGTATTACATGATATTTTAACATACTTATATCTGTACGTTAACCTCATAAACGTTGTATTAAAGATATCATTTATGATTGTATTAAAGATATTATTTATGATTGTATTAAAGATATTATTTATGATTGTATTAGAGACATTATTTATGATTGTATTAAATATATCATTTATGCTTGTATCAAAGATATAATTTATGCTTTGTATTAAAGATATTATTTCTGTTTGTATTAAAGATATTATATATGCTGTTTTGAGTATTTTATTTTATGCTATTTAAATCACGGTACAACAAAATATATAATCTACATCTCCAAAATATTAAACAATATAAGATATAATATACTACTGCCGAAAATCAAAAATATATAAGATATTGTCTACACTGACTGAAAATCGAACAATATTCAATTATAGTCTTCGGCTGTGGTCGATATCTGGATTTGTCAACCCGAAAAAAGATATACTGACCGAGGACGCAGTCCGAGGTCAATATAGCTTTTCTCGGGTCGATAAATCCATGTATTGACCGAAGTTAAAAGCTACAATTGTTTCATTATTTTACAAAATAATAATGTTGGCAATCTGAAGAAAAAATCCATTACAAAAAATATTCGGAAGTTGGACGGTGCATTGTTTGGAGACACGTCATAATTCTATTTCTAGAAACACCCAGTCCTTCAACAACAATCACGCGCTTCAAGTGAATATCGGTTTTTATACGACGGTATTATTATGGCATGGCGTTGTCCGTCCGTCCATCCGGCGTAAAATTTGTTTGTCCGGCAATCTCCTTCTACATTTTTCGACCGATCTCTTTGAAACTTTTTTTTTGAAACTTGGTATACATGATAATCATGATATGAAGTTGTGCCTCCCTCAAAAGAATTTCGATTCGACAATTTTTCCAAAAGTTATTGCCCTTTGTTCATTTCAGTATTTGAGTTTTGTTCGGCAATCCCCTCCTACATTTTTTGACCGATCTCTTTGAAACTTGGTATACATTATAATCATGATAGGCAGTTATGTCTCCTTTAACAGAATTTTGATTCGACAATTTTTTCAAAAGTTATTGCCCTTTGTTCATTTCAGTATTTGAATTCTGTCCGCTGATCTTCTCCTACATTTTTCGACTGATCTCTTTGAAACTTGGTATACATTATGATCATGATATGGAGTTGTGTCCCCCACTAAATGAATTTTGATTCGGCAATTTTTCCAAAAGTTATTGCCCTTTGTTCATTTCAGTATTTGAGTTTTGTTCGGCAATCCCCTCCTACATTTTTCGACTGATCTCTTTGAAACTTGGTATACATTATGATCATGATATGAAGTTGTGTCCCCCACTAAATGAATTTTGATTCGGCAATTTTTCCAAAAGTTATTGCCCTTTGTTCATTTCTGTATTTGATTTTTGTCCGGAAATCTTCTCCTACATTTTTCAACGGATCTCTTTGAAACTTGGTATACTTTATAATCATAATATGAAGTTGTGTCGCCCTTAAAAGAATTTTGATTCGACGATTTTTGCAAAATGTATTGCCTTTTGTTCATTTCAGTATTTAATTTTTTGACTGAAGATTTTCTCCTACATTTTTTATAGCATATCAACTAACCACTATTAGAATGATGCAGATCTTGTTTCAGTGTAAGAAAGTATATAACACTATATGGCATTCGACGGGCGTATTTTGTTCCGCCCCGCGGTACTCTCGTTATCGGTGGACACGTGATGCACTCCAGGCCAATTATTTATCGGGAATAATATGAAAAAAATAATAAAAGATATAATCTACTACTGTGAAAGTCAAACAAAAAAAGGATACTATCTACACTGACGGAAAGTCAAACAATAGAAGATATGATCTACACTGACGGAAAGTCAAACAATAAAGTATATCATCTACTACTGTGAAAGTCAAACAATAAAAGATATCATCCTTTAAGTTTATTACTATACATTCACAGAATCACGGGGGTAATCCCGATACTCGCTATTTCGCTTACGTCAGGGTGATGCAGTTGGTATGTATGCTGATACAGATTACGTTCCTGTGTGATACGGATTACGTTCATTTACAAACTGGAATGATACGGATTACCGTCAAACAATCATATTTCAACAAAATGAAAATCAATATTTTTTAACAAATTTTAGGATATTGTCTTAGTCACAAAGCATCACATAGGAACAAATAGAATATTTAAAATTGACTTTCTTTATTTTTCTAGATCTGAGACTTCCCAAAAGTTTGATTTTTTCTTCTGTGTTTTAATACTACCCTCATTACAAACTTGACCATCATTTGGAGCAGATGTGTATCAGTTTGAAATCTAGACAGGTGCTATCGGAATCAAATAAGTATCAGTTAATTATATAAACTTACATTCTTATTCATATCACATATGTTTCATTTACCACACACTGCAGCTCGCACATGTATGGTGTGACTATCAAAAAACAAAATCACATGACTAAACAAATGATGTATGTTTCCAATGGAAATTTATATTGTCAAATGAAAACAATTATCCTGTCTCGGAGTCACTTAAGTTCAACTAGTAAGTTATAATTACATGTAATAACTGGAAAATTATAAGCTACTTATTAAGGGGCAGTAACTTTTATTTCAAGGGAGGGAGTTCGAAATGCTCGGTGACGCGACCTCACAACCTTTAACAACTAGAACTGTAAGCCAAAGACTAACTAATATCCCCGCTCCTATATAAACCAGAACTGTAAGCTAAAGGCTAAATCAGGTAAAGCATTGCAAAGCAATCCATAATCTCCCACCAGTAATGATTTCTTTATTAACTGATCTGTACACTTATTTAAGTATAGGTAAATGACATACTTTCTGTACTACTTCCCAATTGCAAAACATACTTGCAAACCAAATCTTGTTAGCCCAGATGAACCAGTTTTACCAGTTTTGCTGAAGTCGTCATAGTAGTTAAGGAAGAGTTGTCAGGACAAATAGTTCAAACAAGGGGCCATAACTCCTTAAAAAAGGGTCGAAATTAAAAAATACTACCCTGATGCACGACACCAGGGGCTATTTACCATATATGTAAATTATCATTGATATCGGACCAGCAGTTTCGGAGACAACTTTTTTTCTCAACAAAGGACCATAACTCCTTTTTAAAGGATCGGAATGAAAACAATCTTCCCTGATGCACGACATCACCTTTTCAACAAAGGGCCATTTTGTAAAAAAGGCTACACGTTAGCTCGGTAGTTTTGAAGGAGTTGCCCGTAGAAAAAGAAACGAATGGCCATTTATAAAAAAGGCTCGAAATGAAAAGAAAAATAACGCCTGGATGCACAACTTCAGGTGGTATTTATCATATCTGGAGAGTTTCGTTGAAATCTATCCATAACTTAAGAACGAGTTGTCCGGACAATTTTGTATAAGTTCACATTAAAATAACGCCTTAAAATATCTGAAAGTTTAAAGGCGTTGACCTGTAACTAATTATGTGATATATTAGTAACTGACGAACCGTAGTTGAGATTCCTGTTGGAGTTGTTTCCGCTATTGGTATATACACAAATTAAGAATTGTTTCAAGTTCTGGTGTTAGACATGTTAGACAGCTGGAACCATTATTTTTAAAGGGGTAACATGTACATATGTAGTCTGAAATACCTCCAACTTATGCTTGCACTCGTGTTTTCAACATATGACAATATTATGGGAAAAACATCGTCGGATATACAGTTTGGAATATTGCTATATAATTAGAACATCACAAAATTTTGAATAGTCTCCCTTCAATCAGCCCAGCCCAACTACTCGGATCCCATCTCTTTAAAAGCAGGTTCAACTGGACTTGATTTTGTCATAGACATTACTGTATCAGCATAAGGTCAGACTGAATAAAAAAGTTACTCAAGAATGATAACACATGTATATGAAGCTAATCTAAAACTGTTTGAGTAAAGTCCACATAGGGCTTGTGTGGTATTACATAAAGGTACTGTCTGCAGATCAAACAGACGTATATACATATATGTACATGGGGCAAAGAAGTAATTCCAACAGTGTGAACAAGTTTAGGTTGTCAAATTTTCGGGGAGATCCGCTCCTTTTTCAAGACACAGTGAAACAGAACAGTTATATGTACATATACATCATATTACAAGAAGATATAATTGATATACTATAATTGAAAATATAGCTATTATATAAAACCAATAGTCCCCTCGGCTAAAGACAGCCGATGGCAGCAATTAAGCTGAGAGCATCGCGGACAAGTGACGCTGATGTAGAGGACCTATTCTTGCGCAAGATGCACTATCATATAAAGTGAGTCAACGAGAGATATCAAAAACGTGGAACATGTACATGTATATACATGTGACGATTTCTTATTCAATACATAAACAGTTTGCGAAATATTTTCAGATTAGCCTCGACACCGTTTCATGTGCATACAGTGTAATATGAGTACTGTTAGGTAGGCCTTGATGTTATCGTCCCATACATTATATCCCAACAGCGACTCTATAGCTAGTGGCGAACCCACGTGTTTGGTTACGTCTTCAATACAGATAAGATCAAGTGATGATTGACCACTGGATGACCACTGTGAAGCTTAACTGGCCGCCACATTTTATAGACATAAACTTAAAGGAAAGCACCACAGAAACAGGAAACAATTTATTTTCCTACTTCGGGTACTGTAGTATATGTACATTTGAATAAAGATTCAAGTGTAGTACAGCAACAGGTTAAAAAGGGGGAGGATGGGGGGATGTAACCAGTACGTGTACATGTCGAAAACAATAAGCTTAGCCTTTCCCGTGAATTTACGACGTCATCGTATTTGTATGTATCTGTCGCAATAATAGCTTTCAAGAGCTAATGTAATTTATTTACATTTATCTTGTATCGTATTGCTCCGCGTGACGTAACACTGGTATTTAATGTAACTTCTCGTGAATATATGGCGATAGCGCTGTTACACAGCATACCATCATTTTCCAACAGCGAGGATTTTGAGAGCTTGACGTTGAGAATTTCAAAAAGAAACTGCATGATTGGCTAAAGTAAATTGTCACCTAACATGGCTCTGCTGTGCTGTTTTTTAAATTCAATGCGGTATCATATTGTATATCAAAAGTCGACAACAAACATGTAAGCAATCAGTTAACCACAATCCCATAAGTATCGCACTAGGAAAATAGACCGTGTGACCATATACGATCTATTTTTCTACCATGATGTAAAAAGAAACTAATCTGAGACTCGGCAACATGTAATGGATCCAGGCACGTAGAATTAGTCTACAAATGATGGTGATATATTTTTCGTATTGCCAGGCAACATAAATACACTCTGTCAGATCAATACTATCCTACATGTATTGCCCTTGTTGTAAGGAAACGCGTTTTGAAAATATTTCGCAAACAGTGTATGTATTGAATAAGAATTCGTCACAGGTATATACATGTACATTTATATATATACGGTGTATATTGTTGTCTGTTTGATCTGCAGACAGAACCACACAAGCTCTATGTGGACTTTGCACAAACAGTTTTAGATTAGCTTCATATACATTTATTATCATTCTTTAGTAACCTATTTTTTTCAGTCTGTCCTTATGCTGGTACAGTAATGTCTATGAGAAAAATGAAGTCCAGTTGAACCTGCTTTTAAAGAGATGGGACCGAGTAGTTGGGCTGGGGTGATTGAAGGGAGACTATTTAAAATGTTGTGATGTTCAAATTATATGAGTATTTATTAAGTTGCTGTTGTCGGACGGACTTTTTCCTGATTATCCGACGATGTTTTTTGCATAATATTGTCACATGTTGAAAACACGAGAGCAAGCTTAAAGTCGGAGGTATTTTCAGTGTACATGTCACCCCTTTTCTTATCTTAAAATGATTTTTTTGGTCTTTGTTTTAGTTTGTTTTGCTGCGTTTTTTTATGATTGTGTCTTCATACGTTATGATTATTTTCGGCTTTATTCGAAACAGGTTTTTTTGTATACGATAAACGTTTATTTTAATGTTGTACCTATATTACCGCCAAGGTTACATGATGTATAAAATGTGGCGGCCACTTCACAGAGGTCTTATAGTGGTCAATCATCACTTGATCTTATCTGTTCTGAAGACGTAACCAAACACGTGGGTTTGCCACTTGCTATAGCGTCGCTGTTGAGATAAAATGTATGGAACGATAACATCAAGGCACAGTATACTCATGTACATGAACCGGTGTCGAGGCTAATCTGAAAATATTTCGCTAACAGTTTATGTATTGAATAAGAATTCGTCACAGGTATATACATGTATATATATATACGGTTTATATTGTTGTCTGTTTGATCTGCAGACAATACCTTTATGTAATACCACACAAGCCCTATGTGGACTTTGCTCAAACAGTTTTAGATTAGCTTCATATACATGTATTATCATTCTTGAGTAATTTTTTTTATTCAGTCTGTCCTTATGCTGATACAGTAATGTCTATGAGAAAATCTAGTCTTGATTGATTGAGTGATTGATAGGTTTTACGTCCGCTTCACTACCGAATAGTTCGGTTATCCAGCAGACGAAGAACAGAAAGGAAAATGAGTAGAAAGGATAAAGTATTAGGCATATATAGATATTCAACTTGAACTGCTGGCAAAGGGAAGCCATAGAAAATCATAGCTCAAGGGATGGTTGATATTAGAAGGAAATCCGATATGAAATAGAGGAAAATCTTCAAAACTCTTGGTCCAGATTGTTCTTGGACACAGATAAAAGGATGTTGCCCGGGCAACACGGGCAACACCCCTGGGTCCGCCACTGACAAGTGTCGCAATGAGGACAGCAAATTAATTTGGATTATCTAATGTCCTCTTAGCATGTCTATTCCACAAATCTGCTCACCAGGTATTAATAGTGTATTGTTAAAAATAATTATCAATATAAGTTTGAAAAGATAACGTGTTTCAGAGTTATTGTAAAACAAATAAAGATTATAAAAGGAAAGTATTTGTGTTGTTAAATTAAGCAAAACTAGATATCATGTGTCTGTTCTGTGGTAGTGAATCACGCCTCTTAGCACTTATACACCGAACCCAGTCTTTACGGCTAATCATACTGACGCCAGACTTTTCTTACGAAAACACGTTTATTTTTAAACGGTACTGTACATGTATGTATAATTTGTATATCATGTCCGTATGTGTAATTATGAACAGTGGTGGTGTCACTTAGACATTGGACTGTGTTGATGTGGAAATAACAGTCGTAATGAACGACACAGCTTTGCATGTATATATGGTTATTAAAATTTCATAATAGCTCATGTATCGTGTACAGTGTATATTGGTCCAATGAAAAGAACTGCTGGAAGGGGGAGGGGGTCAGTGGTATCTAACGTTACAATTATGACGTCATAATAGTGGTGGTGATCGCGTCATATAGCACGTGGGTCATGACATTTACAGTCCACATGCATGCCACGTGAAGTTGGTAAGGTTATACAGTTGGAATCCTGCAGTTTAGTACGACGATTTTATTTCTATGTTCAATTTCAATTAAAAATATGTTATTGTTATTAAACAAAAGGATCTGGCAACAGACAAAGTCAATGTTAGCCATTTCCCCTAGTTACAGCTAAAATATCAGCAGTTCAATATTTTAAAAGCTATGGTGAGCTTTATCATGATATTATTGTTTAAGTAAATTATAAATAGAATACGTGTCCGTATATTGTGATTAGTAGTACTATGAACTGAATGGATCGACATCAAAATTAGGTGCAGATCGTATACAGTGCCTGTCCCTTCCACTCCTCAATTTCAAAAGGACATGGGAACAAACTACAATGTACATGTCCATCATGATATGAAGGGAATAATATCGAACGTTAAATGGTTAAAAACTCACTTAGTTAAAAAAAATACCATACCCGCACTACCATAGGCCAATATTGATACAAATGTTTTCTAAACCATCTGGTTTAAACATACGATCTGCAATATGTTTGGAACTGTCCTGTACATTTGGTGTTCAGATCAATACGCAATAAACACGCCGATGGTATAATCCCTGTGGGCAATATACATGTATAATGTATAAATGTAGTATGACCGTCACTAAGTTTGACACAACATAAAGCTAGCCGTTAGAACTCATTTTTACCTGACTTCGATTCAATCCTCCATGTTTTTGTGGAGATGAAAGGCGTCTGGTTGACTTCCACAGGCACTAATAGACGATTACGTCACTATTGAGCGAGTTACGGGTTACGTAACAGGATTATAGTAGAAAGGCTTCACGACAATTAGTAAATTAGAGCTCACCTTGAATAAATGTCATCCAAGTATACCTGTATAGGTTGGCCATTTGACCAACAGACTGACCAGATTGAAGAATTCGAATATGGAGCAGTTTTGTGTACGTTACATAAACCATGGAGGTGAGATATGCTATGATTTCAGTTTGACTTTCTTATTTCGATCTCGTAATAGTTCATGTGTTTATCTCATACTAGGTGAATCGAACTCTCTTTTATTTTTTGCTGGTCGTCACCTAGAAACCTGGGATATAGTACTTTTTTTTTTTTCTGTGTTAATTATTATTGCTTTTTATTAATAAATGTGATTATCTCCCTTTACCTGCCAATGTAATATGTTTTGTTATTTTACATGAGCTCTTAAGAGCTAATGTTCTTTGTTAACATGTATGCGACTTTTTTCTTGTATCAAATTATATATAGATGTCTTTTAGAGTGTTTTTCAGTACATATATTTTTCATTCCAACATGTTAATGATGTAAATCATAGGCTGACTTTGTAAAAGTTATACTAGAAAACAGTTTTAAAGCACTTGACTTGTAAGATCCTCTTGCAGAGACCAACATAGCTGAAAAAATCCTTTGTTTTAATCGGCAACGCAGTGGAGTTTCTTCATCAGCCTCTTCATTTACCCCCAGGCAGAATGGGCAGAGACAAAGTTATGTTCAATATATCATTCGGCGCATGCTCACCGCGACTACGGTTAAATGAATACAACATGAGACTAAATCGATCGTATATGTAGCCAACATGGCAGATATATACGAATTATAATTTTCTTCGCACAAGCTCCACATGTGTGATATTATCTGTCTACTGTGTGTGGTGTGTATCTAGACACGCCTCCCACACGCGTGCACTGTTTACACAAATGCTGCACACTATATACCTTAGGCGATAGGACCATTCACAAGCTATAATTATAAGCGACCGCGATGAAATAACGGACCACGTGGGCACACGACTACGGACTGGACACGGGTACAAAGTATCCATCTGTCATTTTAATCTTCATTATCAAGAATTGACTCGACCATACATAATCTCGCTCTATACCCATGCCACCTCATTCTAGCACGTGACAAGCTTTGTGAACAGTTATTCCAATATCCTTTATTTTTCACACAAGATATTCATATAGGACTACTACGTAAGAGGGCAGACGACATCAGTGTTACAATGGCAGACTCCGAAACACAGGCAGCTCTTGAAGACGTTGTAAAAACCATCGGCGGTGTGTGGGTCCTCGTCAGAAACGAAAATCTGGACGAATATCTGAAAGAAATCGGTAAGATGACGTTTTCTATTTTATGATCAGTGATTGTTTTACTGTGTTTGGACAGTGGCGATTCGGGTTATAGGTGGTGTCGTCGGCATATGACTTGATCGCTAATGGATGGTGGGAGGGGGTAAACACACGCACACGGACCTGGGAATGAGATACTGCACGTCGTGTGTTTGGATATAGAGGGGCTAAGGTGAACACCAGTGCTGAGTGTCACACTTTTATTAAGTGTTGATCTAGACCTCTATAACAAAATGAACTATATACTATCTACACTTCAGGATAGGTCAAAACATACGTCCTCTAAGATCCGCAGATCCCTACGAATGCAGGTAGTCTGACATTGACATTGACTATACTTTAACGTTATATATATATAACTGAAACTATATATATATAGTTAACTCGAAATATAAAATATATATACATAGTCTGAAGAATCTCCTAGAAGAGATGAAAGTACTAAAGACTCGTTATTAAGAATTTTTCTTTTTATAATCTATACATATACACTAGTATTCTTAAATCTGATCAGCGTCGTATTGTAACTGATATGACGATTTATTTTACACCACCATACCCCATACAACTTTAACGAAGATCATATTTTATTGTACGTAAGAGGCATACGACTGTGCCTTTTTCAGATCTGACACCGACGTTTATATCCTAGCTAATCCATACATTGCTTATTAAATTAAAAAAATAAATCAGGTGGTATATTTTATTACAAGGGACTATAGACACGGGTTGTGTACCATACAAAGTAAGAGAATCATATTGGAATAATGCCAGTACGTAATTCTCTCATAATCATAAATGTGTATTATATAATTGATAAGTACGACATTCGGACTTCGGCCTGATCAAGTTACATCGCGTAACCTGATTTTCGGTAAATATTTTACTTGAAGGTCGCCATGTGCAAGGTGAGACTCAACTGTCTCCATGTGTAAGGTGAGACTCTGCTGTCTCCATGTGCAAGGTGAGACTCAGCTGTCTCCATGTGCAAGGTGAGACTCTGCTGTCTCCGTTTCTCTTAATCTATAACCTACATTTCTCGATGGTGTCTCAAGGTACAAGCTAACAAACACCGAGAACACCCTCCCTCCTAATAACGATGTATAAATGATCAAAATGATCGAAATTATTCAGTTGCATCATGTAATGACCGAAATAGAAGAGGCTGTCACATGGTACAGTATAAGGCATTACTGTGATGTATAGAAGTTAGTCTCGGTGAAAATGGGAGACGACCAACGTAATATATTCGCATTCTTAAACATTTGAGAAGGGTTTTTTTTTGGTACATATGTATAAACGGTTTGTTCTCCTTTCTCCCACTTTTTTTCTGATCAAAGGAAATATATAAACACTGGACAACAATAGATGTGTCATTATAGTCTGTTCTGGTATAGTACAGGTAGATTATTTACCTGTATTTACCTGTTCACCAATAGGAAATACTGTGTTAGTTATAGGAATATTTAACAAATATATTTCCTGATTTTTCGTAATATTTATTAGAATTATGAATCAATATATACAATATTCCAGTTATTACTTAATAAAAACACATCAAAATACATTAACTGAAAATCTGCTTTTATTAATTTCATATTAAAACAATTTTATAATTTTTTATTATACATTTACATGTATGTTATATATAGATTTCATAAAATAGAACTAAATTTAGCTAGCAATGTATGACAAATATAATCAGTAAAGACAGATATCATGTATTATTATTAAATATGCAAAAACAGATGCAAAGCTGGAAATGAAAATAAATAAAACGAATCAATTACATGTACACATGGAATACTCAGCGCTGGTTGATCAGATCAATCATATTCATAAAATACACACATGCACAAAGATACATGATATAAAACTAATATAATAGCACTAACTTACTAAAGGTGAAATATTGGAAAGTCAATACAAATCACAGATAAGTCCATGATTTAAAGAAATCTTAGCAAAGCACCAAATAAAAATTCCATAACAAGCACATTTATCACAATGTCACTCTAAATGCAAAAGATTGGTTGTATATATTTGTGGATTTCACATTACTGTTCAGTATGATCTAGCTGATGAATATGGTATATGATATGAAAAAATGTCTAAAAATGACATTAGTAGTGATCAATTCTGGTTAGTGGTTATCAAGTTTGGTAAGTAGTTATCGAGTTTGGTTTAGGGTGTATCAAGTTTGAATAGTGATGTATCAATTTCGTTGGCGGTTATCAAGTTGATGTTTCAGGTTTGGTATTTGGTGTTTCAAGTTTGGTTGATTTTGTATCAAGTTTAGTAAGTGGGGTAATAAGTTTAGTTAGTGGTGTATCAAGTTGGGTTAGTGGTGTATCAAGTTAGTTAGTGGTGTATCAATTTGGGTTAGTGGTGTATCAAGTTGGGTTAGTGGTGTATCAAGTTGGTTACATGTAGTAGTGTACATGTATTAATGTTGGTTGGTGGTGTATCAGCTTTGGCTAATGGTATGTCACGTTTGGTTAGTGGTGTATCAGGTTAGGTTTGGTTAGTATTGTATCAGGTTAGATTTGGTTTGTCGTGTATCGAGTCTGTGTGGTGTGTCAAGTTTTGGAAACAGTGTATCAAGTTTGGGTAGAAGTGTATCAAGTTTGGTTAGTGGTGTATGCTGTTTGGATAGTGATGTATCATGTTTGGATAGCGGTGTATCATGTGGTATCGAGTTGAGTAAGTGTAAATAAAAACTTAAACTACAAAATTTGATTTAGTCGACATGTGGCACGGTTGCCAGACGTGTACACATGCACGCCTTAGAGTTTTGAGAGTTTCGGGAGTGCTATTGATTCCTTGTATATGCCCTTTATCTGCTGCAGTGCAGCTCGGGCTGACTCACGTTGTTTGCCAATAGTGTTGTTCATGGACGGATTCCGAAACATACTACTGCTTCATATCATAGAGTAGAGATACCAAAAATGATTGTAAAGGTATCGGCTTTACCTCGGTGGTTTCTGATAAAACGCGCACTGCATAAAGCGCAATCAGTGTGTGTGTATCGGTTACTTTGGCCGTTGATATATTGTTCCGATAACGAAGAAACTATCGTTGTCTGCTATCGGCATAGCCAAACATGTGAAACCTCATTTATTTGACTACTTCGACATAACATATGTAAGTGACCAAATGTTTGTAATAGGTTGTATCGGATTGAAGGAGCCGAAAATGTCGAACAATCGTAAATGTGTGCGTGAACAAATACTTACACTGTGAGTGATGACAGCAGAATTTTCAATATAATAAAAACGGGTTGTCAAAAAATAGGGTACACAAAAAGGGTACAGTTTTTGAGATTTAAAGTTATTATAAAGGACCTAATTGTGATCTCTTGTCAGCTAAAGTGTCATCTTGGACGCGCACTGGACGTCTCATTGCGCGTTTTCTTGCAATTTGAAATTAATATCGAATGATATATATATGCACATGTATATCTATAGACAATATGTACTAGCATTGCCGCGATAATATCCTGTGGTGCATTATCGTGTATATGATGGATTTCAAAAATTATTAGTTTGCAAGATTAAGCTGACATTTTTGTATTACTTATACCACGCAAAGTGTCATGATAATGACCGCACACTGCACCTCTGACAAGCACTGTTAAATATAGTGGTTCAAATATAGTCCAAAGGGGGGCGTAGTCACGGTGATTATAACTGCGAAAGAGTATTTGTTGTATCCTGGTCCAAATGAATAAGGGGAAACTTCAAACTGTTCAAGCACAGGGATGACGCCCCGGGTGGGATCGAGTCCCCCCGATCTGTACGTAATGTAGGTCTTAGCCGGGTTTGCTGTCCCCACTAACAATACAGTCCCGGATCAATTGAACTGACCATTGCCTGGCTAGGTGAAGGGAAGCTACATAGCGTCCAGGGAAGCTACACTGTGGACTGTGTGCGAATGTTATCGATGTATTGCTACCTAGTGTTAGTTAGTGTGATCACATTGTCATTTGTCACAACTCGGGTATACTAATGTGTTGTTTGGCCCGATCCAATACATTAAGGGTCTAATGTACCATGAGGTCTAATAATAACATCAAAGACAGGGACGATACAATTTTTACAGTTTTGATCAGCAACCTAGTGTTGAGTTCTGTTACACGCAGAACAGTACAGCGTCAAGGGACACCTATCATATTATGAGAGATTCCGGGTTTCCGCTTTGGCCTCTGATAGATGTCTGGTGTCAATCTGTCAAAATGCACCAAAACTGGTGTTTTTGGTCAGAAGAGTCTGTGTTTTAGGCCAGAAGAGTGTTTTAGACCAGAAGAGTCTGTGTTTTAGGCCAGAAGAGTATGTGTTTTGTGTCAGAAGAGACTGGGTTTTTTTGCCAGAAGAGGCTGGAGAGAATCGCGAAAATGACCGACATTTTGACATACTACAAATATATGTATACATAGATGTTATAGAGATGACCTTTGGCTATCGTACGCTACATGTACAGATACATCAAAACATGTCTCGAGTGTGCATCATAGACTATCCTTTATCGCTCACTGACCAGTAAGTAGGACATGTCTACGTATGTCAAACTCGCGTCTCGCTTGTTATCTGTGTGTATATCTATAAATTGGTACAATCCCTTCTTACAAGCCTAGATAAAAGATAGGTACACATTTATACGACCCATTTAATTTGCATGCCCAGGAACTCGCGGGAAGAGTGTAAGTGGTCAGCGGAGATGCCAGTCTTGATATGCAATAGAGTTTAGCCCCAGGAATCGGTCAACTTTATTTTCAATGTATATGTACAGTCAGACATACAAGGCCTCTGAAATTTCTAAAGTTACACATAGTTACAATATTGTAGTTAGATATATAATCCATTTTCCGAAGAAGGAATAAACTCAGTCTTAACTATGTTTGTTTACCTCCTCGCCAGAGCTGTGGTCATATGGAGACGGGATATGAACGATGTTGGTGGAACAAAAACAACTGCTTTTTCAGC